CCGGGTCCTGTTAGAAAGAGGTAAGGGCTAAGAGGAGGCTGAGGAGACAGCCCACAAGGCTGCCCCAGGGCACAAGAGTAGAGTGGCCCTGATTCCATTGTTCATTGCCAGTTCTATCAGTCAGCCTGGGCTGTCATTACAAAATACCCCAGATGGTGGGGCTTAAACAGCAGAGATTTATTTCCTCAGCATTCTGGAGGCTAGAAGGGCAAGATCAAGGTGTTAGTAAGGTGAGTTTCTGGTGAGACCTCCCTCCTTGGCTGATAGAAGACCACATTCTCCCTGCATCCGCACATGGCCTTTTCCCTATGCCCCCGTATGGAGAAAGAGAGTTCTGTTGTCTCCTCTTCTTCTTATACGGACACCAATCTTAGTGGATTAGGGCTCCACTCTTAACCATTCATTTAACCTTAACTGTCCTTAAAAAAGCCCAGTCTCCAAACATAAGCACATTGGCGTCTTCAAGGAATGAATTTGGAGGTAGGGGGCAGACACAATTCAGCCCATAATACCAGACAAGGGTCTCCTCAGTGGTGGCCAGCATAGCTGCACATCAGCCTGGAGATTTTGCAGTGGACCCCGGGCCAACCTGGATTAAAGACAGGAAAATATCTCTCTCATTGGTAATGAAGGAATTAAAATACTAAGATAGAGGTTGTCAGCTGTGACGAAAATACAGGGGCCACATCCCAAGAACTGTCCTTTTAAGCTCCAAATCATCCATAAGTCAGGAGGGAAAATGGTAATAGAAAATGAAAAAACCATATCTAAAAAAAAAAGTCGATTTTTAACCCAGGGAAGAAGTTATAAATATAATTAGATTTACCCTCACCCAAGGTGTTGCTGGCGTGGCAGCCCGAGGACTGCTCTCCGCACCATGGAAACAGGCATCCTCAGCAGCCTCCCACCTCCCTCTGCACCCCCTTCCCATTCCTCCCCCAGTGCGGAGCACAGAATTATCCCTCCCTGACTACCCAGATTTCTCTGTAATTCCTTCCTCAGACCTGTCCCACAGAGCAATTGCTCTGTTTGTGCTGTAGACTGAATATTGTTCTTCCCATCCACGCCCGCTCCCAAGTTCGTACCTTAAAACCCTACCCGCCAATGTGATGCTGTTTGGAGATGGGGTCTTTGAGAAGCTATAAGGTCACGAAGGTGGAGCCCTCATGATGAGACTGGTGTCCTACATAAGAAGAGACGTGAGGGAGCTTGCTTCCTTTCTCTCTCTACCATATGATACAAGGAGAAAATGGCTATCCACGGGCCAGGAAGGGTCCTCACCAGAAACTGAACCAGCTGGCCTCTGGATCTTGGACTTCCCAGCCCCCAGAACCGTAAGAATAAATTTCTTTTGTTTTTGCTATGGCAGCCTGAGCCAACAAAGACACTTAACACCGCTCCTCCTCCTGCCCCACACAATCTGCCCCAGTCCTCAAGGGCAGAACAGTCACCTTGAGAGATGTCTAGCCAAGACAACCCTGTTTGGCTGGAGACCTCTAAGCCAAATGCCGGTGATTCTCAGGATGGGTCGTAGTGATAAAGTCTCCACGAACGCGGATTCAGCAAGTCCTGAGCCACTGTTCCTAGGGAAGATATGAACATACTCACAGAGATTATAGTCTTGAATTCTAGAAACAACTCATCCAGGTAGATTCTATTTTCTTTACTTTAGGGGAGACCAACAAGATTCAGAAGTGCTAAGTGACTTGTCTGAGGCCATGCCACTAACACATGCCAGAGTGGGTCTTCAACACCGTCCAGTGGCCCAAGAGCCGGAGCCTGCTGGTCTCCCATCTCCATCCTCCCATCGGCTCTGCAGGAAGCAGAGACAAGAAGGCAGGGTGTCACTTTGTTCAACCTCAGCTGGAAACGCATGTCTAGTGACTCATTTTGCTACTCTGCATGTGTCCACGTGAATGACAGAGAAAGTATTGGGAGTGTTGATTTGAGGCTGACAAATAAATTTCAGCGGACGGAATTTTGTGAATACGGAATCAACAAATAATGAGGACAGGCTGTACCTTTCCGCCACTGTAACATGAACAGCCTCGGAAGGGGCTGTACACGGGGCTGTTGTTGGGTCCCCCATCTGGGACTGTGGGGGTTGGATCCAGGCACCGTCCAGCCATCAAGGTGGGCTCCTCGCCAACCACAAGCTCCGCAACGACACGGTGTCTACCCTGCCCATCACTCCACCCCAACTACTTGGAAATAAGTACATGCCAAACAGAGGGAGATGAATAATCAGGCTGAGAATTCATTTTTTAACACGGGTCTTTGTGAAGATTAAGCAAAAGATTTGGTGGGCATACCCGGAGGCACACCCTGAAATGAGATCCAAACCGGACATATGGAAAAGGAAAAGAGTGTGGATCTTTTTTAAAATTCACTGGTCTGGGGGTTATTTTTCCCCCTGAGTTATAAAAGTAATACAAAAAAGTTTTTTTAAAGATTTTTTCATTTGACAGAGAGAGAGAGAGAGAGAGCACAGCAGGGGGAGTGGGAGAGGGAGAAGCAGGGTCCCCGCCGAGCAGGGAGCCCGACGCAGAGCTCGATCCCAGCACCCTGGGATCATGCCCTGAGCCGAAGGCAGACACCCAACCCGCTGAGCCACCCAGGCGCCCCCCCAAAAAGATTTTTTTTAAGTAAAAAGCAGAAAACCACCAAAACCCCACCACCTAAAAACAATCATGACTAAAACTTGAACAAATATTCTTCCCTTGTCTTTGTGTCTGGTTTTCGCAGTGTGACTCTGGTTTGTGTTCCTCATAGCCCCCGCACCCCGTGCCCCCCTCCAGTATCCCCTGCTTCATGCCACACTGAATGAATGACCGTGCAGAGCTCCGAGTACAGGAGTCAAACTCCGCCCATTTCGAGTCCCAGAATGTGAGGTCTTGGTCTAAACGGAAAGATGGAGATACAAGATCCATCTGAGCTGGTCCTTCCTGTGCCCAGAGAGGAGACCGCAGGGAAGTGGATGAGGAGGGTGGGGACAGGGAGCGTAGATGTTGTTGGGGGTCCCTGCATGTGTCCCGACTTCCCAAGCCAGGGCCGGGCAGAGGCCAGCACGACAGATCGCCTGGATCACAGGGCAACGGGAACCTTCCCTAGGAAGGGCCCAGCAAAATGCCCAACCCCAGAATTTTACCAGACACAAACTACAAAAGAAACAGTGGACCCCTCCAACATCAGGGCAGAAGAGATGCCCCTCTGCAGTGTTGGAAAGCTGCCTTGAAACAGCCCTCATCGTCCCCAGAGCATTCTACTGCTGCATGCTCTGGGCCTGGGGCTGAGGTGGCCCCAAGAGAACAGAGAACGGGGGTCAAGAAGCAGCCTGTGTCCGCAGACACCAGCGGAAGAAGCTGGGACAGGTCTTCTTGGTGCGACGCCTTCCCTGAGACCCAGGTCGGTGCCCAACGTGGAGACACATCCCAGGGAAAGGGCTCTCCTGAACTAAGGAAGATCTAGTTCCTGTCGTGGGTGGAATGTAGGCCCAAAAGAGAAATGGGAGACCCACTACAGAAAAGTAAAGACTTGAGACACCTGGGTGGCTCAGTTGGTTAAGCATCTGCCTTCAGCTCAGGTCATGATCCCAGGGTCTTGGGATCCCTGCTCAGGAGGGAGACTGCTTCTCCCTCTGCCTGCCACTCCCCCTGCTTTGTGCTCTCTCTCTCTCTCTCTGACAAATAAATAAAATCTTGTAGATAGGCAGAAAGATGATAGATGATAGATAGATAGATAGATAGATAAAGACTTGTATGGCCACTCTCAGGTTTGGGCATGGAGTGCACTCACTAGTCATATATAGACATATAGACATATAGATAATAAGCTTTCTCTTTTTCAATGGCGCATGTTCCAGTATTTTGCTCTGATTTCTACTCACTGAGAAATTCACGATAATCCTGCACCGCTGTGGCTAAAATCCCATTTGCCAATTGTGGGAATGCCCTCACTTTTGTCCTGTTTCTGCTGAGAGGCAGGCGTCTGGCTTCGGGGCCCTAACTCTTACCTGCCAAGGATTCATACCTGTGCGAGGCACACATTCAAGGCAACATCCTCCAGGGCTGACTCTCAACCCTCTCATCTTCACCCCTGCCCAGGGAGTTGCCCCCAAATCCCGACAGAGCATCGCCCCCACCCTTCGAGCCCGTCCACACAGATGGCTCGGGTGCTGGGGGGACAGGTACACGTGCTGTCTGGCTCCGTGGAGATCAGAGGCAGAACAGACGGCTACCAGCTGAGCAGGTAGGAGCAACTTTTGAAAAAGGCAGCACGTGGCTGAGTTTTTAAAGAGCAGGGAGGTAAGACTGGGAAAGACCGATTAATCTGGACTAAGTAGGAGCCTGAATGGGCATCGGATACTCGGAGTTTATCTGACAGACAACAGGAGTGGCGGGGCTCCCCGTTCCCGTGGCGAGTGCCCTTTGGCCGCAGGGTGAGAGGGAGGGGGAGGGGGACACGGGGGGCACCGAGGCTGGCGCTAAAACAGGCTTCTGCGGAACTGCGGGCCTGACGGAGGCACCCAGGAGTAGCGGGACCTGGTGCACTGGGACGCTGCATAATGCCCCCACAGAGACGGGTGTTCTAGGAGCCCCAGAGCCCAGAGGACAAGAGATGGGAAGATGGCTTCAGCTCCTTGTTCAGCAGGACCGAAAGAAGGTTCTAGAACATGGGCGAAGCAAGCATGTTTGTCGAACATGGGAATAGAACATCCTAGGGAGAGAAAGAGAATGAATGAAGGTTTAATCAAAAACCTAAGCAGATCATGAGTCAAAAGCAGAAATGCTTTTGTAGTTATAACATCTAAAAATGTTTAAATAAAAAGGACCTCGTATCTTAAAAGTCCAAAGATTTCTGTGAACTTGCAGTAATAACTGCATGGCCTTTTATCCCTTCCTCAAGATACCTTTAAAGTTCACCGCAGCAATGAGGATTCAACGTAAATCATTCTGTTTCCTTTGAAATAAATACACTCTGAGCTATTTTGGTATGGGTCATGTTTAATATTGGTTTCACAATGTGTAGACACGAATACACGAACAATCTCACATTTAATATTACGAGATTGAGCAGACGGCCAAGTTATTAATATGTGGTTTCAATCCAGCACTCTGGCCTTTTGAGAACATGAGGCGGAATTTCTGAGTCATCGCCAGCAAGGCTCATGGTCTGGCAGCCACATGGCAACCCAAAACACAGGTTGTTTTGTTATAAACATCAAAGGCCCACATTTGACCCAGTGGAGACCCCAGGGTTCAGAGTAACGCAGATCCATGTGGGTCTGAGTCCAGCCACGAGGCCTCGGGGTGCCCATGGGCCTCGCCACAGGCCTGCAGCTCCCGGACAGGGCAGGCCAGGGTGTCCGTTCATTCTGAGGCCTCTGCCCAGGCCCCGTATCTCTCGAAGTTGGAGGCATTCTGGGACTGGAGAGAGAACCCTCGCCTCTTTGGGGACAAGTCCAGAAGGCGGCGGGGACCAGGCGTGTCTTGGCTGGGCCTGCTGTCGGGCCTGTGGGCCAGGCCTAGCAGGTCATGCCGTCTGGATTCTGACTCCATGCCCTGGGACGGCCGCCCTGGCGCTTCAGCAGCTCCTGGCCGGGCCTCACCGGGCTCAGCCAGAGGAGCTGACATTCCCAGAAGACACTTCCAAATACCATTTTGCGTCTAGAGCACAGTTCCGCCGCCAGTTCTCGGATTTCTGGTATGTTCCCCTCCACTAAGCGCCCACTGAGATCCTCTGCCCGGCAGCTTTCTGTGCAGTGGCCCACACGGCCTGCAATTTCCTTGCCAGCGTGACTTCCCTCAGGGACTTAGGCCCTGCTCTCCTAGCCTCCTGCCCACAGCACGAAACAGGTTCCAGACAGAAACTCGAACTCGGACGAGGAGAGCCGGGTGTGGGGCCGAGTGCACACTGCCCCCAGAAGCCTGACATGGAACAGACCCCAGCTCAGCGGCTCCGCCCGATGTCAGTCTGCTCTGTGCCCAGGGCCACCTGCTGGGACTTGCTAGATGTGGAGCTGCTGAGGCGGGGAACTTGGTTCTTTCGGGCCAGTCCTGTCCCTGGCAGGCTGAGCCATCTTTGGTCATGGGCTTTCCGGTCTTCCGGATGGTTCCAGCCGTGAGGCCCTGGAACCTTGCATTCCCCAGCCTCGGGTGGGCAGTTTTGCAGGGAACGCTGAGCCCGGTGCAGCAGAGCTGGGCTGAAATCCACCCCTCACCGGGGTCTGACCCTGTGGGACTCAAGCTCCTTAGCGGCCTCGTTTGTAGAACAGGCTCTTCCTCGGCCTGTTTCAAGGACGGTGTCAGATGACAACCATAAAGCTGTCTAGGCAACATGAAGTACGGCATAGTCCTCTGCTCTGTGGTCAATCGCAGTAGCTCCTTTCCAGGACGCAGTCCGGGCTGAAGGGGACTAACAGCATCTCCAAATGGCAACGAGGCTGGAGAAGGGAGAGCGAGGGCTAGTTCACACATCCGGTCCTCTTCCTGAACAAGCGAAACTGACATTCACAGAGTAAGTACACTGGCCCGGCTTCCGTGGAAACCCTCCCCTTGCACGCCCTCCCCCAGATCTGCTGTAGTGAAACCAGACGGCACAGGTACACTTGCAGGCAGCTCGGGCTCACCTTTGCCAGATGCGTTAAGGACAGTCAAAACGATGTTGAACTCCATCCCCTCCTTTCCTTTCCCCAAACACTAATGGAGAGTGCCATTGCCTGGGATTTTCACTAGACAAAGCAGAATTTGCAGAGAGCGGGGGAGCCAAGGCTCCAGGTGTGGCCGTGATGGAGTTTATTCCAGCAGCTTCAGAGTTAAGTAGGCCACCAGAAAGAGGCCGCTGCTACTTCACCTTCAAAAATGTCAGGGGTGGCCTTGTTGAACGTGAGGGTGGAGAACAGACTGGATACCCAGTGCCTGTTCTGAAGTCGGGTAATTAAGTCAAGAAGCCACACAGCAGGGGCGGGTAGGGTGGGCTCCTGCCCAGGCCTCCCCTGAGCTCTTCTGGAGAGCGACTCGCCTGGAGAGCCCCAGGGGCACCTTGCAGAGTGCTTCCTCCCCGCCTCCCCAAACAAGCAGGACTCCAGGCAGCCTCAGTGCAGATCCTCTCTCACCATCACCCCTGCACAACCCTCCTCTCTGCGTCTCTCTCCAGCCCAAACCAAGATCTCCAGACTTGCATACGGTTCACAAATGAGTGTCCATCGGCATTAAAGAGACGTCAGCATTGCAGGTACCCACTTGTGTTCGTTCCGATTACTTTTCTCCAGAAACCACCGCCATTCAAATGGGCGACTTCTCTGCATGAATATAATTATAGATTCTATGCCGCTAAATAATTACTGATGTTACTGGAAATGAACCTCAGTGCAAAGTAAGGAACATAAAACACACTCAACCAGCCCGCCACACTGATAAACCCAACCACTAAGCATCTCCCCCAGCAACTCCACTCCTGGCCTTGATATTGCCAAGAATCATGGTTCTCGAATGTGGCATGGAGGGTTGAGAAGGAACGGGGGACAGTGCCTGCCGGTCACACCTTCCTGGCTGCACTGTGAAGTCGGGGTCTCTGGGGTGGGTGTACACAGGGGTGTGCACGTGGAGTACCCTCTCCTGTTCATCGAAAGCGTTTTTCTATTTTTATACTTACAACCACCCAACCACATAAACAGGTCGATTCTTCCTCACTAAACAGATGAAAAATGGAACCTGAGGGAAGAAACACTTACTGCACACTTACACTAATTCATTAATTTTCCTTTACCTACCTGCAGTTTAGAGATGAGGAAACTGGGACTCCAGGGGCCACCAGGCCTGTAAGGGTCAGCCTGAGAGTTGCTGTTTTCCAAGGTTACTCTTGGTTACCCCTCTGTGACCAACTAACCCTCATGGTGAAAGAAGGCTCTAGCTCCAGACTGGACCCCAAAGTCACCACAGGGCTCTGCAAACACATTTCTGAATGAATGCAGACATTTCTCCAACAAGAATGCTTCAATTTCTATCATCAAAGTGTGTTCACACGCGCCCTGCCCAAGACTTCCGACGCTCAAGAAGGGGAGTGCAGAGTGTCCTCAACCCACCTACGAACACTGTCAAGAACAGTAAGCAAAGGTAAGCAAACGGAATCTAGAAGATACGACTAGATACGAGTACGTTGTCTCCATCTGTAATATATAGGTGGGTGGGGGATGGGCTACGTGGGGGATGGGCGTTAAGGAAGGCACTTGTGGTAAGCACTGAAAGAGTTGTATGTAAATGATGAACCACTGACCTCTACTCCTGAGACCAATAGTGAACTGCATGCCAACTAACTAGAATTGAAATAAAATAAAAGTAATAATAAATCTGTAATATACAAATGATTCCACAACTTATAAAGAGATAAAGCAGCATTTCTCAACTTCACCACTGTAAAATTTATTTTCACTGACCGAGTGCAGTGTGTGGTTTTCTGTAGCAGGGTGGCTACTTCAAGCTCATGACTCATGTCACATTCCAGCGACAGCAGGTCTGCCACAGCCGAGCCTGTACCTCCAGCACAGTTAACCCTGCACCAGGGCCCGGAGAAGTCTGCACGAAGAGCCTGCCTGGCAGATATTACTGAAAAGTGATGAAATACACATTTCTTTTTATTTCATTTTGAGCAAACATGTAACTTTGTTACCTGATCAATTTTTACCCACACAAAAAACCTGAAGAACCCATAAAATACAAACTTTTCACATATTAAGAATCACCAACAGGGACACCTGGGTGGCTCAGTCGGTTAAGCGTCTGCCTTCGGCTCAGGTCGTGATCCAGGGGCCTGGGATCGAGCCCCGGGGTCGGGATCCCTGCTCCCTGCTCGGTGGGGAGCCTGCTTCTCCCCCTCCCTCCACCCCTCCCTTCCTCCTCCGGCTCGTAGCTCTCTCTCTCATAAATAAAATAATAATCACCAACAAATAACTTTCAAGTATCACACAGAACTGCTGCACTAAAGTAACTCTGCTTACATATTACTAAAACCTGTATTATCTGTAGGTTTTTAAAAACTTTAACTATATTAGTATAAAATATTCAAATAAAACAATACTCCCACCTAGTGGATGAAGAAAAACATCTGGCTTATTTCAGTTGTCAAGAGTACCACCAAAAAAAAGGAAACAAAACTATAATGAATTTAAATTAAGTTTATTCTGTTTGTATACCTGTAAAACACCCCCTTGGGGGAAAAAAAACAAAACAAAACAAAACAAAACCATACACACTGCTCCCCTTGAAGGAATGGATGGGTAATAACACTTTACAAAACGATCTTTGGAATCATGTATAAATGTTGCTCTGAATCTCATTTGTTGTCAGCAATTTCTTCAGTATGTCTGTGCTCTGGGGAATATTCTGGAAGAGGAGAAGAAAGTCATCAGCTCGGTGGGACGGAGAACACAGTCAGAAACAATGGAGACACTCCAACCCCTGCACTCTCAGGCCGCACACAGAATGGCACGCAGAGGGAGCAGGCCCGGCCCTGAATCTCTTCCGGGAGGTAGCACACCGGGGCAGCTACCTCAGCGCTTCAGGACATCGAAGTGTTTAAGGAGGTGAAACATCTAAGCCTGTCCTCCCCTTGCCCAAAACTCTCCGGGGATGCCTCACGGCCTCCACGGCCCTTCCGAGACCTCTGGCGGGAGGTGACCCTCCAGGCCGGCCTCTCCCCCACGGGAGCGCTCGGCTCTGAGCCCGCCCACGTCCGCGCTCCCCGCTGCCACCTCTCCTCAGATGGCCCTCGCCCCACCGCGGCGGGCCCGCGACGGGGACGGGGCGCTCTCCTCCGCCCGGCTGGCACGGCAGTGCTGTGAGCCGCCGCCAGGCCGTGGCGCTCACATGGCTCAAGAGAGGTCCACGTCGGTGGCCGCACGCCCCCCCCCCCAGATCAACAGAGACTGTGAGTGAACTCAGGACGGCCACGTCTGCTCCCGTCTGAGAGACGAACGCGCTCCTCAAACTCCATTAACGTTTACAGGAAGAAACGAACAGCTTAGGACAAGGTAGCTCAATTTCCCCTTCAAAGAATACTCCTAAAAGCTGCAGGTGGACTTCGACTCCACACGACGATTTCCAGTCCCCGGAACGCGTGCGGCGCGCCGTGCCACCCCGGAACAGAACAGCCGTTAACCACAGAAGCAAACCCCACGAGCAGTACGTCCCCCGAGAGCGACGTGACCGATGAAACAACTCAGCTGCCCAGAAAGCTTGCCCGTGACTCCAGCTACTGTGAAATCATGCTTGAATTACACGAGCTTAGTTCTAAGTTCTACTCTTACTAATTCACCAAACGGCTGGGAATGCATTCTCCTGTATGCCAGGTACCTGATGACCTGGGGATACCCAAATGGAAAAAAGGGGTCCATTCCCACGGAGCTGACCATCCAGCAAGCAAACTAATTTAATGAGACAAGTGCAATGAGCTAACTCCAACAGAACTTGCCAGAAAAGGTGTCTTAACACCAGTGGTCGTTCTACAATAGAACAGGACTCCCACTGTGGAACGCCGTTGTTGTCTCTTCCCTGTAGGAGAGAAGGTCTTACCCAGGGCGCATGCCCTTTCAGCAAATCTCTTAGGGAAAAGACAGGAGCTCCTAAACCCACCTGAAATCACAGGCAAAACTTTTTGTGTACATGTTCCAATATGACGTTTTCTGGTGAAAGAGCCCAGGGACACACACACACACACACGGAGAGCAGGAAACGGGTTTATCTCGCCTTCACATAGCCAGTCCCATGCAAAATTAAGTGAATAAACATTGAAAATTTGATCCATGCTGTGCTCAAAAATGCCTTCTTAAATATTACAACCTTCCAAATGAATTAGTCACAGAAACTTCCTGAACAGTCAAACCACCTTTCTACACAGCCATCTGGAATTTCTATCAATGCGCTGCACTGATCTACCATGAAAAAGCATGAACAAAACATTTCTCCAGTTACAGAAGTACATCTAAAAGAGAGGGTGACAATCCAATTCCAAGTGCCAGATTAGAAAGCTTTACTTTGAGAAAAAAGGATCTCTAAGCGTTCCTTAAGTTTTAAATCAGTACCATAAATTTACCATTTGTTATTAAGTTTGTTATAACTCAGGTGTTAAGTCAATGGGCTAAAACCTTACCTTAACCAAACCTTTCAAGCTTCTGGAAGAAAGGATAGGCTTAAAAGCTTCAACTGTGATTAGGTCTAACTTCATCATATCAGTATAACACAAGTACAGAACTGCAGGAATCTTCCACACTTGACAGTAACTCAGAACTATGAATAACACAAGGAAAAAAAAACACTTAAGTCTTCTACTGTATAATTTTTAAACTAAATACCTCTAAATAACAAAGGCTACTTTTAAAAATAGTTGTCTCTGTTGCTTTCCTTAATGTGTTTACTGCCATATCAAACCACTTATGATGCGTATTTTCTTTCAAAGCCAATTTATTTTCGCTAAGTAATTTCTTGCTTTTGCAAATATTGCTTATTTTGCATTTCCCGAATATACTGAGACACATCATAAGTAACTACAAGATTAAAATTTTGCTGAATATAATACAATAAATTAGCCACTTATTCCAGTAAACAGGGGGAAAAACTTACTTATTAACAAATAACAATTATATTAGCTACTGAAAAGTAAGAAACAATCTCATCTTGATGTGATGCTAGGGTATAATTAGTAACAGTAATAAAAAATAAAATATTAAAGAAACTCCAGATTCAGTATCTGGATACTTCTATCTTGACAATTAAAACATCCTTTATCAACTTTCATGCACCAACAATTTACATCTAACATCGGCTTGCATGATGTTATCACAGACCAAAAAGAACCAGAGTAACTCTGCAACCTAACAGTTAAGAACTCTGAGCTGGTCCACAATAGCCAAACTGTGGAAAGAGCCAAGATGTCCATCGACAGATGAATGGATAAAGAAGATGTGGTATATATACACAATGGAATATTATGCAGCCATCAAAAGGAATGAGATCTTGCCATTTGCAACGACGTGGATGGAACTGGAGGGTGTTATGCTGAGTGAAATAAGTCAATCAGAGAAAGACATGTATCATATGACCTCACTGATATGAGGAATTCTTAATCTCAGGAAACAAACTGAGGGTTGCTGGAGTGGTCGGGGGTGGGAGGGATGGGGTGGCTGGGTGATAGACATTGGGGAGGGTATGTGCTATGGTGAGCGCTGTGAATTGTGCAAGACTGTTGAATCACAGATCTGTACCTCTGAAACAAATAACGCAACATATTTTAAGAAAAAAGAAAAAGAAGAAGGTAACAGGAGAGGAAGAATGAAGGGGAGTAAGTCAGAGGGGGAGACAAACCATGAGAGATGATGGACTCTGGAAAACAAACTGAGGGTTCTAGAGGGGAGGAGGGTAGGGGGATGGGTTAGCCTGGTGAAGGGTATTAAAGAGGGCACATTCTGCATGGAGCACTGGGTGTTATGAACAAACAATGAATCATGGAACACTACATCAAAAACTAATGATGTAATATATGGTGATTAACATAAAAATAAAAAATTTAAAAAAAAAAAGAACTCTGAGCTGCTCTCACATCATAACTGTGTGTGTGTGGACAACGTTAGAACTCAAATCAAACACAACATACTAGCAAAAATAAATATTAAAGATTAACAGCAATACATTGGTATCATCATTAACGAACTACTTTAGAAAGACCTCTAATAGTCAAAGTAATAACCAATAACCAATAAAGCACTAACAAGATATGCTGTAAATGTTACAAATTTTAATACCACCTGCTGCAGGAAGATCATGTACGATATTTGGTTGTTCCAGCAGTGAACAGCATGGAGGCTCTTTGAAATTCTGTGTTTTTAGGGCTTTCAGAAAAGGAGAATGAAGGCTGCTAATAGATTCTGAAGTTTTATAGTCAGTAACATGTCGACATGTGAGAAGAGTTACTTGCATATTCTTCCTTGCACAAGAGCCAAAGACCTAAGGCAAAATTGACCTCAAATTAAAATACACACACAGTTTTGTTAAAGAACAGAAAGATTCCCCTAGCTGTTTATCTAACACCATTCACAGTAATATCCCCCCTGGAGAGGTGGTGGAAAAGAGAACACATTTGCTGTCCCCTCACCTGGGTTTGATCTTGGGTCTGTCACTTCCTGGTTTGCTGACCTTTTCTAAGTCACTTTCCTCAGCTGTGAACAGAGGACAGTACTACCCACCTAAGGGGGCTGCAGTGTGCAGTCAATGAAGTCGGGAAGAAACGTACCCACAGCAGCTGGGCTAACACCAGGACTGGCTTCCAGCGCAAAGCAGCTGCTGGACTACGAGATCTCTTCTAATACAGACATTTCTAAGAACACCACTTTACTTGCAAGCTACATTTGGACTAGCAGAATATCAGCAAAAGGAAGTGATCCCCCTTCTCTAATCCATGTGTTGATGTATCCAAGAACACTTTAATAAAGATGTTTCTAAGCTGCAAGGTGCATTCGTAATAGTGTTGTATCACTGCAGTATTTCTTAAATGCATTTTTTAAGTTATTTTGCTTATAGGCAAGTTTTAATCACTCTAGATCTTTATTTTCCCCTAAGTGTGTATTTCATGAAGTTCCAAGGACCCTTTCCAGCTTTTAAAACCTATGGTGATGTAAACAAAACAAGCAGCTATTTTTTTTTTTTTTAAGAAAAAAAGTAAACTTTAGGCCACTCACCTTGTTGGGAAGTATTTTACGAAAGAAGAA